TCCAAATAAGGTCATATTTTGAAATAACAGGTTAGGATATCAATATTCTCTTTTAGGGAGTGATCATGATACTCATAACATTTTCTGTAAATGATCCATAATAACTGGGAACTGGGGTATTAAGAGCAAATAAAAACATCCTAGTGTGTATGTTAAACTGCATGTCTTTACTAACACTGTCCAATAAAACCTTACTGCAATAACAGAAATGTCTTACCTCTGTACACCCCAATGTAACAGATATGTCACATGTGACTACTGGACACTTGAGATGTGGCTAGTTCAAGTAAGAAAATATTTTTATTACCCACTTCAAAGAAACTCTGTATCCATTAGCAGTCACCCCCATTCCCTCCTTCTCCTGACCCACAGCAACTAATAATTTTTCTAATAATCTTGCTTTCTGACTATGAATTTGTCAATTCTGGACACTTTATATAAATAAAATTATAAAATATATGGCCTTTTGTGTCTGGCTTCTTTCATTTAGCATAATGTTTTAAGGTTCTATCCATATTGTACCACACATCAATATTTAATTTCTTTTATGATTGAATAATATTCCCCTTTATAGATATACCATTTCGTGGCTATCCATTCACTTGTTCATGGACATTTGGGTTATTTCCACCTTTGGCTATTATTAATAGTGTACTATGAAAGTTCATGCACAAGTTTTTGTTTGAATACCTTCTATCAGTTCTTTAGGATATATACATAGGAATGGAATTGCTAGGCCGTATAACTCTATGTTTAACTTTTTGTAAAACTGTTTCCACGATACACAGGATTTCGACTTCTCCACATCTTTGTAAACCCTTGTTATTATCTTTTTTTTTTTTTTTTGGTAGCCATTCTAGTGAATGTGAAGTTTAGATTTACACATCTCTAAAAATGAATGCTATTGGAAATCTTTTATGTTTAATATAAACATATTGAACTACTTGTGTATCTTCTTTAAAGATGCCTATTCAAGTTAATTATCCATTTTAAAATTGGGTTAACCAACTTTTCAAGAGAGGTTATGTTCTAGTAACTGAATCTGTAAGTTGATTGCTGGACTTCTTTAAGATAATTTCTTCTACAAGAAAATTCCTTATATGTAGTGATTAGATTCCCTGGCCAGCTCACAAAAGTTTATTCATACCACAAACACCATTAGAGAATATAATATTAGGGTTAAGAATACAGACTAAAGATTGAATGCAAGGTTGAAGTACTGGACCTGACATTTGTTTACTAGCTTTTTGACTGGAAAAACTCTCTAGTTGTACAGGGCTGGGACCAAGGCAAACTACCATTTGCATGGAGGAAGGGGCAGCAGACTGACCTGAAGTGGGTACAGAGAATCTTCTGGAATGTTGAAAATGTTTTGAATCTTGATTGAAATAGTGGTTACATAAGTATATACACTTATGGAAACTTTACTTAAATCCAACACTTCACATATTACATAAAATTTACCTTGATATGCCTGGTGCCTGGGGTCAGACCAAACCAGAGGAACTAATCCTATACAAGTCTGTAAGATAGAAGCTTCAAAAGAACATTATATCAAGCTGGTGTTCTAAAGTTGTATGGTAATTTTAGGCTTAAGAGAAAAACATGTTGGAAATTCAATTATATCATTAGTGTTCTATAACTGGACTTGTTATCAATAAGATATGTAAAGTTCTATGTTACTTTTTACACTGAGATACAATTTATGTATTTAAGTTAATGAGAGCCTAATCTGTGTGAAGGTTTTATTGTAAAACACAAAAATACTTTACTACTTTTCTACAAAAGGTTAAAAGCTTTCAGCCTTTCTTTAATTCATGTTTTAGATGTGATATTATACTGTGTTAGCTAATGTTCATGTGAACTTGAGCAACAATTTATGTAGGCTTTGTAAAATGATGTCTAAAACGCAAAGATCAGTTTCAGAACTACAGTACTTAAGATTTATGAAGAGCCCTGCCTTACCTGAGATAAGGCTCTATGTCCCATCTCACTACATGTGAGAATGACCATAAAAGAAGTAGGCCAGATTTCAGTTCATTTAAAGTTGTGTCCACAAGTCGGTTTTTGTCACGACTGCCAGGATCTCAAATAGGGGATATACTCCACCAAAATTCAAGGTAGCTATTATATGAACTGAATGTTTTTACTCTTGATAATTTTCTTTTGTAGTTTTCTTATAAATGGTTTAAAGATTGCCTGTTAATGTTTTGCAGAGGTACTGATTTAAGAACTCACAACCTGGGTTAATTTAAGATAAGGAGTTATCACCTACAGGATAAAGAGATAGACATTAAAGCCCAGTGCTCTTAATATAAGGCTGTTAACTTATTTTAAGTTTAAGATTAAGTTTTAAATTAGTTAAATTAAAAGGGCCAAGAAAACCAATATTTGGCTCTTGCCCTCTGAGTCAGTCTGAGTCAGGGAATAGGGGACTTCTCCAAAGAGCTTTACAACTCTAGGCCACATAACCTCCTGATCAGGGAGATTAATGAGACCAGTGGAGGACAGAAAGCCAATCAGTGCATTTGCTGTGAAGAGGAGGGTCATCAGAAAAGGAGACATCCCTGATGCTTCCAAGGGAAGCCACATGGTCAAGCAAGGCCTGGACTCATCCTAGCGCAAATGGCACCAGCAGAACTGAGAAGCTGCTGTGAAGTTCCCCAAGGACTCCCAGGGAAACTCAGCTGACTGTTAACAATAGATAGAAACAAAAGTCAGTTTGACTTGCTTCATCTTAAACACTTAGCAAAGACAGTCAAAGCCAAAACACAGCTGTTCCTGGACATTTTAAATAATAATAATAGTTAAATGTAACTTCCATAAATAAGTAAACTGGAGGCTACGAAAGAGATTCTCAGACAGAAATGCCTGATAACTATCAAAAGGAACTGCCAGAGTAGTTTTTAGTTTAAGGCCTTTATTTCTAACCAACGCAGGTAGGCTTAACGTTTGCTAGTATGGTTATCCAGCCCTAAGTAATAGAATTAAGATTTCTCCATTACACACAGAGGTCATACTATCAAAAGGATTTTGCAAGATCAGATGGCATTAAATTATTAGACTATATCTTAAGGGAAAGGACATCTGTAAACCTAAATGTTAATTGTTGTGTTTACATCCCTGACAATTCTGGAAATGTGACAAATATCCTTAAAGATTTACATGCTCAGATAGAAGCCATGTACTCAACACCTTTGTCATGGAAACAACATCTTAGCTCCTGGTTCTTGATACTTCCTGGTGGAAAACATTGTTAGTCTCTATCTTTGTCATCATGCTCATTGGCATATTCCTGTGCTATGGGATTTATTGCTGCATCAATATGGTTCTAGTATTAATGAATTCTTGTTTCTTTTATAGACCACCCATCACTCAAATGGCCCTCCAGCCTATTACTTCTCAATTGGACTTTTATCATGGACCACTCGATAGACCGGATTTTTAAAGGGGGACTGCAAACTGCTTGCCCCACACCGTCCCTTTTCAGCCTGAAGAAGCCAGAAAGATCTTCTTTGCCTCTCTTCCTTACAGCAGTAAGGAGTTCCCAAATTAGAGAGGGGGAATGAAGCCAGATTTAAAGTTAGGTAGTCAGTGTAGTTAGATAAATCAGGGTCTAATACCGAGTGAAATCTAAAATGGAGGCCACGCTGAAAATGATTCCAGGAAATGCAGGACAACTTATGGTAATCAGACAGCAATATGCTCCACTGACAGGGATGGAAAATGAGACTCCCCAATAATTATGATTCATTACTTTTAAGTTTAAAAGTAGTCAGAAAAAGGAGTGGGGAATGAAAGGGTAAAGTTTCTAAGCTGCAAAGCCTGAGTTAAAATGTAAAGGACGAGGTATTGTAAAGTTTCTGAACTGCACACAGAACCTGAAATTCCTGAGGCAGTTAAGACAATGCCCGGTACTGACCATTTAGTTGTTTAATAACCTAGGACCCTGTGCAGTTTGGCACATAGGCATTCAGGGCGCAAACCAATCAGTTTGAATGTACCCCCATTCTTAGGACTGACTTATCACTCCCGCCTGACCTATCCCCACCAATGAATATACTAATCATGTTTGGGAATTGTTGTTTGATTTTCCCGCGCCTCATGATGATTTGCTCTGATGTATGCAAAGTCCCTGCCCTCCCTAAAAAAGTATACTTAAGCACTGCTCAACCCCTGCTTGGGGCTCTTGGCCACTCTCCCTTATTGAGTGAGCCTGGAGCCCCAGCGCGCTGGATTGGATCCTCAATAAATCCCTTTTTGCTGTTTAAAAAAAAAAAAATTTTACCTTAATAAGATATGTCCCCCCACCAAAAAATAAGCCATTATTCAACTATACTGAATGCTATTTCTAAAGACAAGAAAGATTTCTAATATACTTTAGAGGATTTCTCAAAAAGATTTTCTGGTTAATTGTTGATGATCCATTACTTATTGCTTTCAAAACAGACACAAGGCACTTAGAATCAGTAATGCGCAGTTTCTTCTACTATCATTTACAGTAATGACAAGTAATTAACTTCATACTTCCAACATTTCTCGATCTTCAAAAGGCCCTTTCTTTAAGGGAAACAGCCAATGGCAACTGTGACTAATTTCTCAATGCAAACACTAATGCTCTTGGCATTAAACTGGATGATCAACTTCATTTATAAGAAGCAGCTTACCAATATCTTTGGTAACTTTTTTCTCTCCTACAAGAAATGAATAATTTTCAAAGAATATCTAAAGCTCATTTTCAACCTGTTTTATGTCTACCTTGCTGTTATTAAAATCAGGCTGTTTTCTCACCCACCTTGTTACACTATTCTTTATCCTATGAAATACTACTTATCCATTAACAAATACTTTTGAATATAAACTCCTTAAAATAAATTTATACATCATCATCTATGAAGTATTCACATAAGATATGTTTAACTTTAGTCTTTAACTTAGTTTACAACAAGAAAAATGTACAAGAAAACTTTAGCAATTAGCTAAATCAAGATTGTGGGATGGTGCCCACTTTGGCAGCACATACACTAAAACTGGAGTGATACAGAGAAGATTAATGTGGTCCCTGCACAAGGATGACATGCAAATTTGTGAAGCGTTCCAAGAATGTGGAGAGTGCGCCTACAGAATGGAAGAAAATCTTTGCCTCATACAGGGTGTTAATTTCCAGGATATATAAAGAACTCAAAAACTTAACACCAATCATCATCATCATCATCATCATCATCATCATCATCATCATTCAATTAATAAATGGGTAAAGAAACTGAACAGACACTTCTCAGAAAAGGAAATATGAATGGTCAACATACGCATGAAAAAAATATTCAGCATCTCTTTTTTTTTAATATTCAGCATCTCTAGCAAATTAAAACCACATGCAAATTAAAACTACACTGAAATTTCACCTCACTCTAGTCAGAATGGCAATTATTAGAATACAAGTAATAATAAATGTTGGCAAGGATGTGGGGAAAATGGTTTTTCATACATTGCTGGTGGGAATGCAAATTGGTTCAACCTCTCTGGAGCAGTATGAATATTCCTCAAAACTAGGAATGGAACCACCATTTGACACAATTATCCCATTCCTTGGTATATATCCAAAGAAGTTAAAATCAACATATTACAGTGACATGGCCACATCAATGTTTACAGCAGCTCCATTCACAATAGCTACACTATGGAGCCAAGCTATGTGCCCTTAAACAGATGAGTGGATAAGGAAAATGTGGTATACATACACAATGGAGTATTTACTACTCAGTCATTAAAAAGAATAACTTTATGACCTTTGCTGGTAAATGTATGGAACCGGGGAATCTCATGCTAAGTGAAATAAGCCAGTCCCCAAAAGCCAAAGGTTGAATGTTTTTGCTGATAATAAGAGGGAAGATATTCAATAGATATTCAGGGGAATTAGGGGAAGAGAGAGGTGATAGGAAAAGAAAAGACAGTGGAATGAATGCCAAATCATTTTCCTATGTACATATATGAATACACTATAGTGAATCCCACCGTTTTGTACCTCCACAAGAATGGGGTCCTAATTAGCATAAGATGTATTCCATGCTTGTATAATCAAATTCTGTCAAAGTAAATTCTGTCATGTATAACTAAAAAGAATAAACTAAAAAAAAAAAAAAGGAATGTGGGGTGGTCTTCATTAAAGTGGCCTAATTTACCAAAAATCAATTTTTGTAACAAAGTGAGAAAGAAGGAAAGACTAACTTTTTAGGTTGAGAGTTTAAAAAAATATATAGCAATGAAATGGATCATGTATATACCTTAGTTTTAAGAAAAAGACTATACAAGTAATATGTGGAATATCTTGGGAAATTTCAAATTAAACTACATATTAGCAGAAATTAAAGAATGATGAATTTTCTGGTAACTATATCATGGTTACATATTATTGTCATTTTTAGAAGATGGACATATTTAGGTACTAGTGAAGCATCCTGATATCTGCAACTTCTAAATAGTTCTACAAACATACAGACATAAACACAAATACAAGCAAATAATAAGGCAGAATGTGGACAACTGTTTGGGATCTAGGTGATAACTAGGTGTTCTGTAAGTTTTAAAATTTATATAAAATTTTATAGGAAAATAATGGGGATAGGTTGTATTTTCTTAAACAAACAATAATACTTAGAATAATATTTTAAAGTTTAAAGAAATCATCTATATTATCCAAAATGGGCAAAATCCTTTTCACCAAATAAAGTATACAAATAATAAGTGTATAATAATATGCTAAATACTATTAGTTGTATTTATACAAAACAAAGCTACAAATGAGACACCATTACAAATCAACTAAAATAAATGTACAGAAACAGAAACTTTCCTATATTACTGGTGAAGATGTAAACTGCTTCAGCAACTCTGGCTCACAGTTTGACACTTTTCCTAAGAAGTTAAACTTATGGCAATTCTACTCCTAGGTGTCCCACCAGAAGAAATGATAGTATATGTCCACACAAAGGTGTGTACACAAATGTTTACAGCAGCATTATTCAAAATGACAAAAAACTAGAAACATCCCACATACCATTAACTGGTGAATGAATTTTTAAAAATGTGACACATCCTTACATTGGAATAATATTCAGTAATGAAAATGAGCCTTACACTTGTACATACCTCAAAAACATTATATTAAATAAAAGTCAGACACATCATGTAATACGACTACAAAAATGGGAAGTTATATTCCATATATGTATGAAATGTCAAAATACTTCTCCTGTCATAGATAACTAAAAAAGAACACATAAAAAATTTAAATATATATAAATAAATAAAAGTCAGGCATTTCACTGAGATGAAATTTCCAGAAAAGCCAGATGGAAAGGGACAGACACAAACCAATGGTTTCCTGAGGTTGGAGTGAGAGCAGAGGTTGATTATAAATGGGCAGAATGGGATTGATATAAATGTTCTAAAACTAGACTGTGGTAATAGTTGCACAACTCTAAAAATTACTAAAAGTCACTGGGCACTTATAGTACATGCATTTTTATATACCTCAAATCTGTTTTAAAAATGAAACTACAGTGAATTCCACTATATCTGGATATTCATATGCAAATTTATGTATGATTTATGACTGAAATTAAAGCAAATCCCTTGCAGAAACAAACAGCAACTCCAAGTAAAGCAAGTATAATGAACTTAAAAGTAAGAAACTTCCATGATTTCAACCAACTGACATCTACTGTTCAGTAAGAAATTTGAATTAAGGAACTGTCTCATTTTGTGGCAAGTGTGAACTAAACATTTTTAAATATTTTTAAGTTGTACACTTATTTATTGTAATTAAATTGCCTAATAAACTAATATAGGTAAATTTTTTGTTGTTTTGTTTTTGTTAGGTAAAATGTTTTAATGCAGTTCCTATATCACTATTTTAGGTGACATAAAAGCACTATTATTAGATACATAATAATGAGAAAAAAATTGAAATTTTTTTCAATCCTTCAATCCTATTGATTTAGGAGGAAATCTGTACAAGGTGATAGTTCACTTATAAACACCTTACATTTATCTGCTAATTCCCCTTTTTAACAAAGAAGAAAGAGCTCTACTAGAAACTGTATTTTCATAACACTGTTTTCACTGTGCTGCTTCATATGGTAATCTTTATTCCTGTAAACTGTCCCAGCATTCCATTTATGACAAAAGTATAAATTATTTTGTGGGAGTTCCCCATAGGATTTGTGATTTGTCCCAACTCATGGGCTCAAGTGACTCTCCTGTCTCAGCCTCCCTAGTGCTGGGAATACAGGAGTGTGGAGGAAACCTGGCTTAATGAGAATTCTATATTTAAAAGTTAAAATGAATAGGTTATATGAGAATAGAACAAAAATAATGAATGAGGCATGTGGAAAAACTAAGTTTGGTTCTAGTCAACAGTAAACTCCAGATGAGTGCTCAACCATAATATGGACCATGTCAGTGATTCATGAGTACCTGAAAATGGCTGAAATATCCTCTTTAAATCTGTTTATAATACTTCTTTTTCTTTTTCTATAAATCAGGTCAATAAAAATACATTCTTGGAACCAGAAATTTGATTCTACATGAATGACTGTATACTAGTTTAAACTCTGATAGACTACAGATTACCTAATAATTAAAGTAGAATCTTTTACCACTTAACACTTTTCTAATATAATTTGAACTGCACGAAATAAAACTACACTTAATTCACCATCACTTCCAATAAACTCTAATTTTAGGTTTTCTGAACTTAAGTTGTAAGTTAGTATTAGTGTTTTTGTTACTACATCATCTTTTTAAAAATCTTCCAATTATCAAATCTTTTGAAAATTCTGTGCTATACAAAAGGTAATATATTTTGAATTTATTTCTAAAAAGCTACTCAGCATTTTTTGCTTTGTGGGAGGCACTAGGAATAACATGAAATAAGGTAATTTCTATCCTTCAGAAATTTATAATATAGTTGGATAAATAAAGCATGAGTGTGAAACTTATAAGACAAAGCAAAAGTTCAAAGTAAAAAGTAAAATTGTCTCTAGATATAAGAACATAGATGACATGCTCTTTAGAAAACTCTAAAGACCATACAAAAATCTGTTAAAATAAATGAATACACTAAATTTTCAGAATACCAAATCATTATTAAAAATCTACAATCTTCCATATACTATGTAATTCTATAATCTATATACTAACAACAAACTGAAAAAGAAGTTAAGAAAACAGGGCTGAGGTGTAGTTCAGTGGTAAAGTGTCTGCCTAGCATGTACAACACTATGAGTGTTATTTCCATCACTGTTCCATCCCTCTCCCAAAAAAAGAATGAGGGAAAGAAAACAATACTATTTATATTAGTCCTCAAAAATAAAATGCTTAAAATAAATTAACCAGGAAGGTGACACTAAAATACTGATGAAAGAAACTGAATATATGAATAAATGGAAAGGTATGCCATGTTCATGGGTTGAAACAATTAATATTGCTAAAACATCCATACTACCCAAAGTGATCTACAAATTCAATACACTCTCTATCAAAATCTCAATGACATAGAAATTTTAAAACAATCTTAAAATTCACAGAGAACTCAAAAAAGAATTACAAATAGCCAAAGCAATCTTGAGAAAGAAAAAAGTGGAATCATCACATTACCTAATTTCAAAGTATAATATAAAGCTACAATAATCAAAATAGTGTGATATTGACATGAAAACCACACACACAGCCCAATGAACAGGACATTCCAGAAATAAGCCTATACATGCATATATGGTCAACTAATCTTCAACAAAAGTTATCAAGATTACACATCAAAGGCTGGGGCTGTGGCATATATGGTCAACTAATCTTCAACAAAGGTTATCAAGATTACACATCAAAGGCTGGGGCTGTGGCTCAGCGGTAGCGCACTTGCCTGGCACATGTGAGGCACTGGGTTCGATTCCCAGCACCACATATAAATAAATAAAGGTCTATCAACAACTAAAAAGATATTAAAAAAAAAAGATAACACATCAGGGTTAGGGTTGTGGCTCCGTGGTAGAGCACTCGCCTAGAATGCATTAGGCACTGGGTTCAATCCCCAGCACCACATAAAAG